AGATAGGACACTAAAGGCACAATGACACTCTGTAAAAGACACTCTGTAAAAGACACTGTCAAAAGAATGAGAAGACAAGCTATAGACTGGGAGAAAATATTTGCAAGACACATATTATAAAGGCCTGTTATCTAAATTATACAAAGAATTCTTAAAACTCAAAAATATAAAAATAACCCATCCAATTAGAAAATGGGCCAAAGACCTCAAGAGACACCTCACCAGAAAAAATAGCAAGTGAGCATATAAAAAGATGTCCCACATGGTACATCACTAAGGAAATGCAACCTACAACGAGATATCACTATATACCTATGAGAATGGCCAAAATCTAGCACATTGACAACATAATACCAATTGTTGAGGAGGATATGGAGCAACAAGAACTCTCACTCACTGATGGTGGGAAAACAAAATGGGATAGCCACTTTGGAAACAGTAGTCAGTTTTTTACAAAACGAAACATACTCAGTGGCTCAGTTGGCTGAGCATCCGACTTGTTTTCAGCTCAGGTCGGGATCCCAGCGTCATGGGATCCAGCCCTGAGTTGAGTTCTGTGCTGAGCGTGGAGCCTACTTGAGGTTCTTGCTCTCCCTGTGTCTGTCTGTCTGTCTCTCTCTCCTCCTCTGTCCCTCTCCCCTACTCGTGCACGCACCTTCACGTGCTCTCTCCCCAAAATAAAAAAACAAAAAACTAAACATACTCTTAAGATATATTCCAGGGGCGCCTGGGTGGCTCAGTCGGTTAAGCGTCCGACTTCAGCTCAGGTCACAATCTCGCAGGTCTGCGAGTTCGAGCCCCGCGTCGGGCTCTGGGCTGATGGCTCAGAACCTGGAGCCTGCTTCCAATTCTGTGTCTCCCTGTCTCTCTGCCCCTCCCCTGTTCATGCTCTGTCTCTCTCTGTCTCAAAAATAAATAAACGTTAAAAAAAAAAAAAAAAGATATATTCCAGCAATTGTGCTCCTTGGTATTTAGGAGTTGAAAGCGTATACCCACCAACCCCCCCCCACACACACACAAAACCCTGCACACAACATTAACAGTTTTATTCATGATTGCCAAAACTTGGCAGCAACCAAGATGTCCTTCAGTATGTGAATGCACAAATAATCTGTGGTACCATCCAGACAATGGAATATTATTCAGCACAAAAAACAAACAAGCTATCAGGCTATATGAAGACATGGAGGAAACTTAAATGCCTATTACTAAGTGAAAGAAGCCAATCTGGAAAGGCTACATTCCATATGATTCCAACCAAATGACATTCTGGGAAAGACTAAACAATGGAGACAATAAAAAGATCAGTGATTGCTAGGGGTCAGAGGGGAGAAAGGGAGGCAGAGCACAGAAGATTTTTAAGGAAATGAAATTACTCTGTTTGATACTATAATGGAGGATACATACATGTCATAAATTTGTCCAAACCCACAGACTGTACAACATCTAATGTGAACTATGGACTCTGGGTTATAATGATGTACCCATGTGGGTTCATCAATTTTAACAAATGGATTGCTCAGGTGGAAAATGCTGATAATAAGAGACTGTACACGTATGGAGACTGCGAATATATGGGAAATCTCTATCTTTCTCTCATTTTTACTGCAAACCTGAAAACCACTCTAAAAAAAAGTTACGCTTATGGGGGGTGGGGGGGGAGCATCACCTGGATTTAATCATGAGTTAATAGACAAATTTAAACATTCTAAAACAGGACCAACCATTTTTCAAACTAATCAGGGTCAAGAAAGATAAGGAGATTGAGAAACTGTCCCAGACTGGAAGAAATTACAGAAGCGTGACAACTAAATGCAATATGGGATCCTGAACTGAACGGGTGGACCAGAGAAAGGGTGTTAGTGGGACAATTAGTGGAATGTAAATAAACTCTGTAGATTAAGCACACTAATCACTTAGTTTCTTAGTTTTGAACACTGTACTACAGTTATTTAAAACGTTAATAACATTTGAGGCGCCTGGGTGGCGCAGTCGGTTAAGCGTCCGACTTCAGCCAGGTCACGATCTCGCGGTCCGTGAGTTCGAGCCCCGCGTCGGGCTCTGGGCTGATGGCTCAGAGCCTGGAGCCTGTTTCCGATTCTGTGTCTCCCTCTCTCTCTGCCCCTCCCCCGTTCATGCTCTGTCTCTCTCTGTCCCCAAAATAAATAAAAAACGTTAATAAAAAAAAAAAAATTAAAAAAAAACCAAACGTTAATAACATTTGAGGAGACTAGGTTAAAGTTTTTACTTTTTAAAAGTCAAATTATTTCAGTGATGCACTTCAAGAACAACAGAAAGAAAGCCAAATTATTCCAAAATAAAAACTTTAATTTAAAAATAAATACAGAGTACAGATTAGCTAACAAATGCCACTATATAAATGCATAAACTAAACCAGAGATCAGCCAACTTTTTCTGTAAAGAGCAGAACACTAAATAGTTCATTTAGGCTTTGTGGGCCTAAGTCTTTATCAAAACTACTCATCTCTGCCATCTTAGCACAAAGCAGCCACAGACAGTAAAAGTACCAATCACGCCTGTGTTTCAATAAAAACAAGAAGGAATGGATTTAGCCCGTAGGCTATAGTTTGCTGACTCTGCAATGAAACACAGCAATTTTTTAAAGAATACGGTATAGTTTGACATAGTATCATACATAATAGTTATTCTTTCTTAAATAAATGTAATCAAACTTCTTCCAGATTTATCAAATGAAATAAAAATCTCTTCTATTACATATCATTTTCAAAATTCTTTCTCATACACTGTTGTTCTGTTGGTTATGTGCATAGGACCATTAAAAGGAGATACTTAATATTTTAGTAAAGATCAGAGCTACATTTCCTATTAATAGTTCTAGCACAGGGGCGCCTGGGTGGCGCAGTCGGTTGAGCGTCCGAC